TATATATATAATTTAGATATAATAACTCTAGTGTAGAATTGGCTTTAGTCAACGTTGGTCAATCATTATAATTTGCGGCATAATTTACACTAGTCAACCCAACCGTCGTTCAGAGAAACCTCTCTGTCTATCTATCTATCTATATAGGCTTCAGCAAAAGCACCGCCACGTTGATGAGTTGAGCAAACTGATTTGGGTCCAATGGAGGAGATGACAAAGAGGAAACAGCCAGCACAGGACGGAGACGACGAGGGCGGCGCCGCTGGAGGCCGAAGCGGGGACGAAGAGCACCGGGAGGTAACCGACGAAGAAGTGGATGAATTTTTCTCCGTTCTTCGGCGGTTGCATGCGGCCTCGAAGAGCTTCGCTGGCGGAGGCGACCGCCGAGACAACAAGCGGAAGAAGAAGGTGAGGAGGGGAGAGGAGGAGGAAGCCAAGGCGGCTGCGAGGTGGCGGCCGAGGTTCACCTTGGAGGACTTCGAGGCTATCGGAGATGGCGGCGTCGTCGTCTCCGATGGGGCGGCAAGTGGTTGCAGGACGGCGGCGGAGGACCCGATCCGTCTGGACTTGGACTTGAACGCCGAGCCCGTCGTCGAAGACCACGACTGGCAGCGATGGTTGCGGTGACGTGACCGTTCATGCATGCACGCGCTTTCATGGTCAAGTCACATCCGATGCTTATCACTAATTCCACAAATATTAAAGCAAAATAAATGTTTTTATTTTGGATCTAATTCCACCAATATCCGACGCTTATCTGTCAATATTTTCTCACAATTCGACCCGATAATATATCTGTATCTGTTGTTTTCGGATCTAATTCCGGACTCAGTCCGGCTTGGACTTGAACGGGTCATGCATTATACCCGAAACATGAATTGGATCCGGCCTCGGGAACCGGGTTATCGGAGTCCATTCACATCCCTAGAAATGGGTGCCCGAGTAGCGCAAGGCCCAAGTAAGGCACCGTGATCAGGCTCACGTGCAACGCACACCCCTAGCCCAGCCCAGATCCCAATTCTCCTTCCCTTAAAGCGCAGCTCTTCTCCAACCCGCTTCCAACCTACCATTTGTTCGACCCGTCTGACTTGTCACCAGAGATGTCATCCGGGGGACCCACTCTCTATCGGATGTGAAAGTGGCTGCGAAGCCGGGTATTGGACATGTGGGTAGGAGAAATTTTGTTGCCCTTAATTAATTTTTACTCTTCCTGGCACCGGGTTCCTTCGGATTCCAAATTAGAACGCCGGTCGCTTCGATCTGACTCCTCCGATCCCCACGAATCATAGGAGCGATAGGGATCGATCGATAGCTTCCCTCGCCCGAGGAAGACGATCTTAGCATTCGATTCACCCGTGAGCATTTCGGCGCTAGATCTGTTTGTTGTTTTACCGGTAGCTGCGTGAGCGTGTTGTGTACGTCTGGGTCGTGGAATATGGAGGTTTAGGTCGGAGGGCGGAAGCTTAGGGGACAAAGGGTGGGCAGAGGGTGAACGAAAGAGCGGGGGTGTGCGTGGAGAGAGGGGGGGTGAATCGAGCGTGGAAGATGTCGTCGGGGAAGATGGAAGGCCCTTCGGCGCCCGCCGTCCGTCGAGATCCCTACGAGGTGCTCTCCGTCACGAGAGAATCGTCTGACCAGGAGATCAAATCTGCGTACAGGAAACTCGCCCTCAAGTATGTCTTGAATTCTACCATTTCCATTACTTTGATACTTCTTGTTTTTTTAGCTACCATTTTAGGGCTCGCAGTTTCTTGAATTCAAAAAAAAAATTCTTTCCATGAAATATTCTGCTTATATTGATAAACACATGCGAAAGGCACTTACTGTGAATGCAATAAACATAGTGTGCATGCGGTATGTTCTTGCAGAAGATCATATGTGAAAAGCAGGAATCTTTCCACCCTCTTAGATCTGAATATGCAACCATAAATTCTAGCGACCTAGTTGATGATTGAATTTGTTTATTATAGCTCCAGCCTCTGTATCGAATCATAGACTCTTCACTGTCGGGTTCACATGCATCTTAGACATCCGAGCATCAGATTTGCTATCGAACTTCACCGCCTCATATGATTGTTGTTCAAGATTTTTAGCATTACCATTTTGATTATGTTGCCTTGTACCTTTTCTTCTTCCCCCTTGGCTGCTCTCAGTAACATGCCATGATTCGTGAGCTCATGGAATAGCTAAGGTTTGTATATAATTTTTTCTTGCTCCTCTCTCTCTCTCTCTCTCTCTCTCTCTCTCTCTCTTTCTTTTCCTTTTGACTGCTTCTGCTGACACACCTATGATGGCAATAGCTTTTACCCTGCCATGCTAATAATACACACGATTCTAGATGATGGTCAACATGAGCCAGTGCTCTGAGAAAAGAAACCAAAACCATATTCGAATAAAATTACAGTGATGTCTGGAACTCTGTTAGTTTCATATGATTAAAAACTTTTGAACCCTTATTATATGGCTTCCTGCATGCATGATAGAAAAGCTTCAGGTAGGTATGATTAATGGAGTGGCTTAAGTTAAATAAATAATTGTAGATGGCAAATAAAACCTGGTTGAATATAGAAATGGCATGTTAGTACTTGAAATCTTGTATCACATATTGGCCACATAATCTCAAAAGTTGCAATCTGCAATGATGAGCCGCAGATGCCAACCAAAAATTTTGGGAATTGTTGGTTATGGTTATATATATTTTTGCTCTTGAGGATCATTGTTGCATAAACATTCTCTATAATTTAGTTAATTTATCTTTTTCGTTTATGGGTAATGATTATGTTTTCCTAAATGCTCGACAATATTGTGTTAGATAGTATTTTGTCACAAATATTATTAAATTTTACTACTTATATTAAATAATTTTGTGGTTTCTAATACGTATAGGTACCACCCTGATAAAAACACAAGCAACCCTGAAGCTTCAGAACTTTTCAAAGAAGTTGCATATTCTTATAGCATCTTGTCGGATCCAGAGAAAAGAAGGCAATATGATACTGCTGGTTTCGAGGTAATTGTCTTTTTGAGGTCGAGCATAAATTTCACAATACTAATTCAGTTCTTAATTTATTCCTAGATTATTTACCCGAGTGTAATGGAGAAACAAAAGATGGGTATTGCATATACATACAACATGATATTGGCATAGACGTGTACATGGATACCAATGTACACCAACATTATGGGCAATGACCTATGCTAGGCCTATTAATGTGTGCTTAGTCCATTCAATTAAAATTAAATGGAAATTTGATTGGTTTATAAGATTTTAAGTGATTAGAATTAATAAATTAGACTGTGATGCGCCAGTCTAGCAGGAAAATAATATGTAGTCCATCTGATTTTCTGCAGTACATTCGGGATGCATTGATCACACATTTTACCCCTTGAGCTAGTCTAAGTCAAGAGAATATATTAATATAGGATTGCATCAAAGATCTCCATTAAGTCTCTATCTTTTTATATTGATAATGGATGAACTTATTGATCACTTACATGATAGACCTCTCTAGTATATGTTATTTGTTGAGATTCATGAGTGTCTAAGTGAAATTAATTATAAACTTGAGCTACTAAGGCAATCCTTAGAAACTAAAGGTTTTAGGTTAAGTAAGACTAAAACTGAATATATGAGATGTAATTTTAGTAATTCTAAGAATAGACATGAGAATATATCTAAGTTGGATGAATAGAAAGTTCCGTTAAGTAAAAGTTTTAGGTATTTTGGATCAATTATTCAATGATATGGAGAGATCGATGAAGATATTATTTATAAAGTAAAAATAAGATGGTTAAAATGTTGAGGGGTGTCATATCTCAATAGCGAAAAAAGATCCATATAGCTGACCCTAAATAGTTGAGACTTACGGCTTTGTTGTTATTTTTTGTTTGTTTGATAGCCAGTCTAGGTCAGGAATGATTGAGCACCAATTAGTTGGAACCAAAGTAGCTCAAAAGACATGAAACACATTTGATAACTCACCCTTAGATCTCATTTTGCCATGTCCCTCAGGACCCTACTCTCCCTCCCCTTCTGCCCAACGCCCAAAAAGAGGGAGAAGAGGAACTGTCAGGTAAGTTCGATGGACCCCATTGAAGTATCCCATTTCTTAATCTTCATTTTCCTCTTGTTTTTTTTCCTTCACTCCTGGATACTGTACCACCTGATTTGGCTATAAGTACTAGCCTGAGTGATCAGCAGGTTTCATTACTGAAATATGCTTCCTTGATTAGAATAGCCTCATTCTTAGTTATGTTATATTGTTTGTCAACCGTAGCTCAGTTCAATGTCATGTCTTCAAGTTGCTTGTATGCTTGACTTCGTACTTTAAATGGATGGCACCTAAGACTGTATTGTACTTCTTAAACTCAGGTTGATGAATGGACAAAAGCAGATGCATATGATCAGTTATCTTTATTTTATTACTTTATTTATTCACTTCATACTTATCCATAAAGGTAACTGGCAAATTCAAATGACTGTATAGTTAAATAGCAGAACTGTCACATTTAGTTAGAGCTTCAAGCAATCACAAGCAACCAGAGAATAGTACTTGAAGCTCACTTATGTTCAGAGGCACTTGTTACAATTGATATTATTGTGTCCAGTCAATCACGAATGATGAAACAAAACCTTTTTTACTCGTGTTAAGAGATTCCATTTAAACTAATAGCATTTTTGTTAACTGTAATCCATGCAATAAATTTGAAGCTGGTGTCTGATTTAAGTAGTTATTTAAATGTTTTGATAGCCATATGAAAATGTCATAAAATGTGTGTACCTCTTTAAAATTGCTTGTCTCATGCATAGTCCCTTCTCCTTCTCTCTTATAGTAATTTCTTTCCTTCCACTGCCCCAAACTAGTCCACTATTGGTAAAATATTTGAACATTTTTAGCTGAGAAGTGTAATGTCCCTTTTAAATGTTATGATGCTACTATATTTTCTCCAGGGTATGGACAGAAATACTAGGTGCACTTTTGCTTTATTCAACTGTTAGAATATTGTAGTAGATATTGTTGGTATTTCATAAGTGAATGATTAAATTTTAAAGGTTGACCAACTTTTAGGAACTGGGTTAACCAAACCTAGTTATGGTGACTGGTGAGGCATACATACAAGAAACTTTGCAAGTGTGTGCATACGATAAATGAAAAGCAACTTCACCTGGGTATATATGCAGGAAAAAAAAAAACCCTTATTCTGAATCGCAATTTTCTCATTGCTATTTTCACCTAGTGCTGCTTTGAAGATTATTGTAACCAATATAAATTGGTTTGCTAAATCGTTCAAAAGATTGGGTTTAATTTTAGGATTGGTATTGGAAATTAGTGTTGCACAAGCTGGCTATGCTGGGCCCCTGCCAGGCCATGCTCAGCTCATAACCTAGGTTGACATGGGAAGAACCAGCATGACAAAGATTGGGCGACACTAACATAGCACTGGGTTGGCTCAGCATATATGCTGATTGGCTTGTTTGTGTGTTGGCACATTATCAACACAAGGCTTGTTCTAAATTGAAAACTTTCATTGAAATTAAGCTAAAAATTCATTATTTTTTCCCTCTTCATACTCATCTCCTATGTTCTCTTCACTTTTGTCCTTTTTCTAGTCTTCCTTATCAAATT